TGGTAGGAGGGTATACTGTTACTGTATAAGTATGTATATGCAGTTCTACTGTTCTGGCAGAAAAAAGTCTGCCAGTTTTTAGGTGGGTACATGGTAAATCCATTTTTTTAGAGGTAAGTATATACCTCCCACTACACCTCTGGTCCTATTGATGTGAATGGGGGTATGTTTGCCGACTCTTGCTATCCTGAAGTCTACAATGAGCTCCTTAGTTTTCCTGGGGTTGAGGACACAATCGTAGGTAAACAAGGAGTAGATGAGAGGGCTCAGCACACAGCCCTGTGACACTCCAGTGCTCAGTGACAGTGTGGACTGCTGGACACAGTCCAGAGTGAGGTGTTGATACCAAGTGCGGTGAGTTTAGAGACCAGGTTTGAATTCCGAGGCTTCATACTCGGCTCACAGGTAAAGGAAAAATCGGCAAAGCTCGGACCTCCAGGATCATTATTGGAATGGCCATGAGTTATAGTAATGGACAGAGGTCTATCTTGCTGGAGATTGGCAACAAACACGTGAATTTATTTAATAAGAGATTGACTAATGAATGTGAAGATTTACCATCCATCAATTTTCCTCCACCTCCTCTGGGTGAATCTCAAGGCGATGTAATCTCTCCAGTGTGTCCTGGGTCTACCCCGGGCCTCCTCCCGAAACATCTCCCCAGGGAGCCAACCAGGAGGCATCCTAGACAGATGCCTGAACTACCTCAACTGGCTCCTTTTCATGCGGAGGAGCAGCAGCTCTACTGTGAGCCCCTTCTGAATGTCTGAGCTCCTCAGGCTGAGCCCAGCCACCTTGCAGAGGCCACTTATATCCATGATCTCATTCTTTCGGTCACTAAATTGAGAGCCTTCTGGCTCAGCTCCCTCTTCACCGAAACAGAACGGTACAGCGTCCTCATTACTGCTGATGCTACACTGATCCATCTGTCGATCTCCTCTTCATCCCGGTCGCCTCACACTCAGCTGCAAACTGCCCCAGCGCATGCCGCAGGTCCTAGCCGATGACGTAAATAGGACCACATCATCTGCAAAAAGCAAAGATGCAACCCTGAGGCCCCCAAACCAGACCTCCTCCGCCCCTTGGCTACGTCTAGAAATTCTGTCCATAAAAATTGTGAACAGAATCAGTGACAAAGGGCCGCCCACCAGGAACTGCTGCCATTTGGAACCATACTATCACTCCGTTTGTACAGGGATCTGTTGGCTTGCAAAAATGGACCCTATACCTCACACTCCTGAAGCCCCCCCCCTCGCCCCCCAGGACCCTCAAGGGACACGGTTGTATGCCTTTCAAAGTCCTGGAGCCATGTACTTAGAGCTAGTTAATGCCGCTGATGATCGGTCTGCCCCTCCCTTTGATCTACATCACTCCCGACCCCATGGCTCCGCCTGCAGGTGGGGCGCCCACAGGAGAGTGGACCCATGTTATTTTTTCAGGCTATGCTGGCCGGACCCCATGGGTGGAGGACCGGCCACCGGTCGCCCCCCCTCGAGCTCCTGCCCCTGGCCTGGCTCCCGGGCGAGGCCCTGGTTTCCCCAATCTGGGTGGGGTAACATTATCCATTGTTTTATTTTTCTTCATGGTGGTGCCCTGAATCACACTAAGTCTGGCCGCTCACCTAGGACCAATTTGCTTTGGGAGACCCTACCAGGGGCAATTGCCTGTGACAACATAGCTCCTAGGATCCTGGAGGCACACAAGCCCCTCCTCCATGATAAGGAGGCAATTCATGGAGGGGGTGAAGATTTACTTGCTGATTTATTTGGATATTCACTTCAATAACTCAAAAAAATCTGCAATTTCTTCCTTGGGAAAGAAAGACTATTAACAGAAACACTCTCCAGATTTGTGAGATGTACTTAAATAACAGGAGGAAGGGTCCACGCATTCAAGGCTGCTGTGATGCAGCCTCTGTGCAATAGCCACCGGGGACCAAAAACTGGTGGGCGGGTGAGAAATCCTTCACAGGCACCATGTGACTTGGCGTCTCATCGATTCAGCTGAAGAGGCGTGATTGTATGCACTGTAGTGAGGTGCATTGGCGATGGCTCGGTGGCAGATCTTTGGGGTGATCTGTAATTGTCTCTCTCAGAGATTTCACACCACTTATTATGAGATTACAGTGGTCGTGCGTCCCAATGCTCAAATTCAATTCTAAAACCTTTACCTTTCATGGAGGTGCTAAGAAGATGGTCAGTATCTGCAATGTTTTATAATTCTCGGTCGGGATAACGGCCCTCGGAATTGTCTGTAGTAGACATTATAAGGACACCTTTCTGAAACATATAGAGCCACCTGACCTACTGGGAAGATCATGCAGAGGCCGAGCAGAGGGTCTACTCCTGCTCACCATCCCATTAAAGAGGTGAGTGGTGTCTTGCCATCAGCATCATATGGCTAAACTACAGCTGTTTAGAAAGAGTTGCCCACTATACTTGAATATTAAATAGTCTGAAACAGAAAGGTGATAGGGCCTTTGCTGTGGCTGCTCCTCGCCTTTGGAACCAGCTACCCACAGATATTAGATGTGCCCCCTCTATTGCCATCTTTAAATCTAGATTAAAAACTCACCTCTATTCACAGGCTTTCCTATAACCGTAATTCTCTTATTTCTGGTGTCCTAATGTGCCTATTCTTGTTGGATAAGTTCAGCTTGTTATAACATGCAATTATTATTATTTTATTATTATCATTTATTTTTTATTTACTTTTTGTTTACTTTTTAATATTTTATCATTGATGTACAGCACTTTGGTCAGGAATAGCTGTGTTTAAATGTGCTTTATAAATAAATTTTACTTACTTACTTACTTACTTATTCATTACACTTCACCAAACATTTTCCATTGGTGGCTGATTTCAATCAAATGTAGCCCTATTTAGCCTGAATCCTAAGCCTTCGGTTATGTAACTAATAACCTGGTAAACACTGCCATAGAAAAAAAAGTGTTTTTAACAGTTTTCAAGAGGTGAACCCTTTTCTGAAATACAGTCGTTGTAGAAATACACGTAAAATTAATGGAGTGACTTCATTAAAATCTGAGTAAGCTAAACAGCTTTACAGTTTTGCTCTATTTATCTTTGTGTTTGTTAATCAAACTATCAATCCTCACTAGAGGGGATCGATTGCATGGTCCAAAAATACAAGACAAATTGCATCCTATATTGGGGCAAAATGTAACAGCATTTTACTTAATCACAAAATATATGACACATGTACAAACTCTAATCCTCATATTTCCCAAAATAATTAATTTAATGACTGTACTGACATTTTCCTTTTGCACATTAAAAAACTGAACAAAAATTACCATTCTTTTTTTTACAGTATATACACAGGACTGGCTGCAATAAATAAGAACAGATTTACAAATCGAAGTATTTCAAAGTCTTCAAAGTTCACTTAGAGTATACCAATTCCTTGTCCACAAACCAACAAGAAATATTGGCGGACAAGTGAGTTTATCTTGCCTGATGGCTGAACTCACATTCTGAATGGTTACATGTGTGTCAGTCTTTGTTGGATTGAGAATGTGCAAGATCACGTACCTTTAGAAAGATTAGAGGTTCATCCAAAACTGCATATGTAGTAGGTGAAATACGTCTGAAATATGTGAGCAGTATGTCTGAATCCTCAGTACGGATGAGATAGTAAGTGAACCATACCTGGCTGACATACTACATTCTGTGAAGTTGTTGATCGCTGTGCTATCCCACAAGGCCACGGAGACAAAGACTGTCACTTGCTCAGAAATCTTTGTCAAGATGGAGGTGAAAGTGCTGTCTTTGTACAAATGTAAGTAGAAAAACAATAGTAGAGGCATCGGAAACTATTAGTTGACTTGAACGTGTATTTTTTTCATTGATAGGTTCTTACTTTCATGCAGGTCAGGCTACATCATTTATAAACATCTGGTTCAGGTAATACAGAAAATGGTGGCCGCAGTGTGTCTGAATGGATGCATGCTGTTCTCATGTATGCTGACAAAATCCATTACTTGTAGCATGCGTATGTGATTTCAGATGCACCCTACGTAAAACATGTGGCACTGGGTGGGTTTAAATATGAGACATATTACATAACTTCCAACCAACTGCTAAATAGGAGGCAATGAGAAATACATTGAAGTCTATGAGTTTAATGAGGCATAAGATGTTCTGCTTCATTGAGGTGCCTTTTTTGTGAAGCTTAGCTTCACCTGTTGTCTTAAAGAAACTGCCACTGGTCTGGACATATCTGGTGCCAACACACCAGCACCAGTTATCGATATGGGTATGTCTACAACCCAGGATTTCACATCCAGCTCCGGGTCATGCTGCTTTTTGTTACTGTGGGCTGTGTGTATAGTTTAGTGTTGAAACTGCATCATGTCTCTGGAAGACAGACATGCCAAAGACACTTTTTCCACTGGTTGTGGTCCTTAGCCAACTTCTCCCTTCCTCCATCCTCGTTAAGTCCCTATCATTTCTTTGGTCTGCTGGTCTGTCTCCTGTCCCGACCGAAGCCTCTCGTTTTACATCCATGTTCTAGAGACAAAGGACACCTTTGTGGTCCAGGAATTATTTTCATTTGTACAAAAGCTCCATAGTCCTCATACTGAATCTGTCGAACACAAACAAGTCTCCCTTATTACGAATAACAACAGTCCAGAAAACAACAACCGTATTCGCTAATGAGCCTCTGAGCGCCAGTGTAAATAGGTTTGAAAATTAAATTGGGCACCTTCAACATAGCATACATATGTAAAAATGGATGTGCTAGTCTGAGCCATAACGCGGCATGCAAATAAAACGTGTGGATTTAGTCTTAAACTAAGAGTGAATATACAATAAGTGATCGTATCGATAGATTTTTGGTTGATTCATTGTTATAATGCAGTTTGTTTTGCAATGTGCTTTAGTGCACTTACGCCGGTTAATGTGCTGGATATGCCACCTTTGGAAACTCGGCTTTGCGTCACGTTGTCGCTGCCTCAGTGTGTTGATGTACGAAGAAGTGACAGCAGCCGCACTGCACGTTTAAGCTTAGCGAGAAAAAAAGCCCTGCTTTTGTCCTCTATTTATAAGGAGATAGAATAACGCCCGCTGCGTATCTGTGTCTGCGCACATCTCCGCCCTTCAGCGGCAGCAGAGGGAGTTCCGAGCCGGGTGGGGAGAGCTGATGCTGCGCGAGTCCAGCGTGGAGAGTCTCGGAACGCGGATCGGTATGATCTGACTTCCAAGGCGACTTAAGACAGCCTACATTATTAAGCGGTTTCCGGACTCCTGAGGGCACCATGATCTCTTCGCAACGTAAAAAAGTAAAAGGACAAGTATGCTTTTTCTGGAGCGCGAGCATGCCCTTGAACGCGTAAGTAAACCAATTAAGATATATAGCAAGTCCGTGGTTTCTTGCTTTTTACTGTAAAATCAAGTTTTAACTGTGATTTACACTCCAGGGACAAAGAGGCATCAGAAAGCGTGTAACTAACCTGGACCATTTGTACGAGCGCCTTCTTAATCATCCCGTTATACATTTACAGCATTTCTTTAATTATGGAATTATCTTAATAAAGATAAAGGTGTTTTGTTGTGAAATTACACCAATTACATGACAACAGCGAGTGCATGTTACATTGAGACTTTTCAGATAATTTAAGATGAAGACAGACAGTATAGCAATCGGAAAATATAACGTGTAAATTCCCACCTCGGTGCACCGTATTCCAGCACCAATCAGGTATAATCTTTGCGCGTTAACTGAGTGCTTTTTCCAAGAGTGTCCTAGTTTCTAAAAGAAACATTTACTGTAATACATTAACAACTAAGCGACTCGTAGGCTTAATTATTTGCTAATGAAGATAAACTCTTGTCATGTCTTATAATATTGTAATGTGACTTTGGGTACTAGAGTGGATGAAATGAAATTGAATGAGATACATTTAGGCGGGGTAGGGGATCTTTCCCACAGTGCGCGATCCTGAGATCTGCAACAAGTCATTGTGAAAACTAGGATTATCAAGCGGAATTTTCAAAACAGAAGCAAATTAATTACGAATATCGTTCGAGACTTTAGAGGCAAGAAGCGCATAAATACAACAAAAAGATGCGTTCAATTCTAGGTTACTAAAGAACATTTCTGCACGCAGCTGTTTTCCATTGTAGTTTTTATTTCATGATTCATGATTTGTTTAATTTGTAGCATTCTTTCCTCACAAACATGTGGAAACATTTAAATGTCAAAAGAGGTTTATAAATTTTAATTTATAACTTATCATTTTTATGACGCTGCTTCGCTGGCAAATTAATCCTCATTTAACTGGAAGCTAAGACGGGAAAAGCACAAAAGAAAATCGCATTATCAGTGTCCTTTATCTTTTGCTGATAATATACTACTTCTAGTCACCGTGGTGGGATTTTATTTTTACATTTGTTTTCTTAATCTTTTTCCGAACTTTATCAGCTTAACCTTGATGCTTACAGGTTGTTCTGGAACTTGACTAGCAGGCCTGTTTTAGTATAATGGATGTTATTTTAACGTAGTAGAAATATTATTGCCCATGACAGTTTTAAAAAATCATTGTAGACTTGCACTTTTTGGATAATGGGATCATGTGACAATGACAGAATCACCATCGTTCTACTACCCACAACCAAAATCAACATTTTTTATTGTCTTAAAAATGTACTTGACATTTCAAAAGATGTACCCAGTAGAGGCAAGTGAGTGGTTTTCTGCAGCTGGGACTTTGTCACTGAATGAGCTTTTTACAACCAAAGTCTGAAATAATAAATGTTACCGAATTAATAAACATGGAATAAACGTTCCCGTCACAGCAGGTCAGCAAATTCTCCCGTATCTCGCCCTGTGTGCTCAGCATATATGTGCTATTACATTTTCCATCAGCCTGACTTTGAACTGCTTATCCAGTGCAGGTGAGCCATGAGCCTGGCCCCTGTCCAGGGAGCACAGGCATGAAGTAGCGTCTGTTTGCAGAAGAGCTGTTTTAGCACAGGGTGGGCTGAGGGGTTTGCATGCCTTATCGATAACTTTTTGACAAACAGCTATCATCGCTGAAGGGTTTCTGGCAGATCTGCAAATGATTCAGAAACTCGTGAACCACACCTATAAGGGACCGTTAGGGATTTGGGGCCCTTTGAAAGCTTATCATACCGAGTCCCCAACCCAGACCAATCAAATTATGTTCCAAAGATTTCAGGGCCCCAGATACTCAAGGGGGCTTTGGAATCCCCCCAACTTTCACCCCCGCATACACGTGGCTAACTTTGCTTATGACCATATACCCGGGCACACTGCTCAGTATTAGAGGGAACACTGCTGTTCACATGATCTGGTCAAATGTCACCATGACATGAAACCAAGAGCTTCAGTCATCACAGGTTTAATCTCTTCAGTATCTGCCATTGTCTGATTATAACAGTACTTTTCTAATGTGAGATGGGGGATTGAGAAATGAGCAGAACATTATTCTATTTAATCATGGAAAACAATGTTTTGGGGTTTTATTGGGCCTAATGCAGTCAGGGGTGGGACAGGAATGCTTGGCTCCTTTAAGACATATAGTGGAAAGATCATGAGGATGAGGAAGATGCTGAGCTCAGTAAAATATAGGTGTCGGACAGACCACGGGGCAGGAACACCTTCCAAAGTATCTTTTTTCCCATCAGAGTTTTTGTGGTAGTTTCACCGCACCACGTCTTGACAGATGTATATTTTTTCATAAATTTTGTTTTATTATTATTTAAAAAAAAAAAAAAAAAAAAAACAGAAGTACCTTGTAGTAAGATGCTGTAAATCAAAGCAGGGGCTTACCAGGAAAATACTCTTTGTGATTAATATCTTTCCACTGCAGCTTGTAATATTCTATGTTCGTTTTGGCCAATTCACAGTAATTTTGGATTTTCTGGTGATTTTTAAAAAAAACTTTATCTACTGACACAGAAGACCAGTTTTCTAATATTTTTTTTGCATCACAGACTATTTTAAAATGTGAAAATTTCTATTAGATCTAAGGGGTGAATTTTCGCAGGTGACAAACATGGGTGTTTGAAAAGTGTGAAAAAGCATTCGCCAGCATTTTAAAAATAAAACAAAAGAAGTGTTGGATATGAGTTAAAAACTTTACAAAATAAAGGCAGTATTTATAGGCCTACAGCTAAACACCAAAACCGGCCTGCATTTTAAGTAGGCCTACCGAGAATGAATTTCATACAGATTTGCCCATTTCGATCTTGCAAATTTTATTTTTTAAGTACTGTCAGCCTGCTATTAAGCATTTATTGTCTGGAGGTGGTACCTCTGCTGCCAGACTCATTACCTAAAAGGTCTTTTGTGTTGAATTTAATCTGAATTGCATTTCAGTGTTTAATTACTCTGATGCTTTTACGCTCGACGAATGGAAACTGATTGACTGATCAAGTTTTATGAATTAACATAAACTAATTTATGCTGATTGTCAAAGTGCTCATTTTAGCCACTGATTTTTAATCTGAATGTTAGCGGCATGTGTTAATCACTGCGTACGCTCCATGTTAATACCAATAATTCTTTCAGAAACTCTGTTAAATCAAGTGAAATGGATTTAAATTGTTATATGCTTTTCTTGGTTTTTGTGCTGAATAAATTTGGCCTTTGTTTATGGCTCATCACGTTATAGTGACGTCAAATAATGGGAGCAGCACCTTAAGTATAGACGCTAGATGATCCTTGTGCCATTGGTATCCCGTTTGGTGGTGGATTCTCATTCGGGGGTTCCAGTTTCAACAAAGGCCTTCAAAGAATAATGACTTGCACTGAGACTACCAGTCATTAATTTGATCAAAGGAGATGCTAAAGGTTCCAGAATTTTAATCAGATGTCCTGGGAACCACCACCCAGCATATCTGTAGAAAGTCATGATCAATATTACTGAGTGCTTACTGAGGTCCAATGTAAGTCTAGAGCCAGACTGGAGGCTGCAGAAGGCACAAGTCTGGGCACACCTTGCATGTCATTCAAGTCCATCACATAGTGCACACACATGTACTGAGACACACAAGGACACACACGCCGCTTAGATTTAACTGTAGGGACAACTTGTTTCGGTGCCTGCCTCTCCAGTTCCTTTCGGCATGGAGAAAAAGACTCATGTACAACTTAGATAAGCCTGCCCAGGTGCTTTATACAATTACAATCCTCTTGCACTGACATCATCTTCAGGGGGAATCCAGTAGATTGGCAGCATAGCAATACATACGGTTACCAAATGTCAAATAAAAGGAAAAGATACAGATGACAGGAAGAAAACCAGGTTGGAATGGAATGCAGATAAAGAGGTAAAAGGAGAAAGAGAGAAACCTGAGCATGCTCAAGAATTGGAATAAAGCAGTGAACGCTAAAAATAAAACCTACAAGAAAGGTTTTTTAGCTGTGTGCCAAAGTGAGCTGCGCTTTGAAGGACGAGCACAGGCTGAAGCTGGAGTCAGCCGCCTGTCGCGTCCCAAAGCCGTAATCCGTGAGGCACTCAGGCTCTTCCAGGACTTTGTGGGATTGGCCCCAATCATTGCTCTCCGCTGACTCTTGGCAGATTCTGTGCCAATTGCTGTAGTATGCGCACAGTGAGTCACTGCACTTCTTCTGTGGTACCAGGGTCTCAGAATCTGAGTTCCTTAAGCATTTTAACTTTCATGGATCAGTGAAACTGAAAGCTGTGAAAATAGTGTAATATGGAGAGTTATGTAATTGGCATTTTCCAGAGAATTTAATACTCGGCTGCCTAACTGTTGATCTAAACAAACTTGTAAACCTCAGCCAAAATTTTAACTGTCAGACTATGAGAATACCCTGTCTAGATTTTTGTTTGATAAAGTTTTAATATTTGCACAAAATAACCTTCATATTAAAAAGAAACTTCTCAGTATTTCAGTGATGTTCTGTGCTCAGCAGCGGTGTTTACCGCCACTTGAACCACACTTTCACATTTGCTGAGGTTTGGGTCCCCTGTTGGCCACAAACAGTCACTGCACCAAATAAACACATTCCTTATTTAGGCGATGCTGAAGCAGCATGTTCTGCTAACCAGCTAGCTAGCTATGATCTTCTGACTTTTTGAGTGGGGCCCCAAAAACAACAGGCCTGTCTAAGTCATTCATAAATTCTTGCTGGTTCCCAAAAATAAATGCTTTCTTATTATGTTTTCTAATGGCAACATATATCCAAGCACTGATTCTTGTGATACTCCAAAGTTGACCAGTGACATTGATGATGGGGTACTGTTACTGAACATTTGAACATATTGGTTACTCAAGTAGGACTTAAACCACTTCAACACAGTATCACACTCATGGTACTGTATGGTAAAGGAATTTTTA